CCTGTCTCATTAACTCCAACTTAGCTGGGCTCACTCTATAATGGTGCTGTCGGATAGGTCTCACCCCCTCCTCTAACACTACATCATGTTCAACCAGATTGGTTCGTCCTGGAGCGTCTGGGAATAAAATCCTAAATTCAAGAATTAAACTCTTAAGCTCTATCATGTTAGATAAAGGAAGATGATGCAACGTCTTATTTAAGTTAGCCAACACCTGTGAATTTTTTAACCTAACATGCGAATCAAGAACTTCCTCACCTGGTTCCAAAGCAACTGCAGGTGCACAAACAACCGCTTGCTGTTTATTCACATCTCTCTGTGAATATAATTTCAACATATTAACATGACACAACTGTTTAGATTTACGCCGCTCAGGGGTAGCGACCACATAATTCAAATCGTTGATCCTCTCAACCACCCGAAAAGGACCATAATATCTGGCATGGAGAGTCGAACCTACAGCAGGAAACAAGGCCAGAACTTGATCTTGAACTTCTTAACCTTCTTATCATACCAAGACTTCATACCGCACTGCGGAACCTTCAAATTATCCCTAGCCATATCAAAAGCTTGATGTAACCTAGTCTTAAACTCAGACACATAACTTAAAAGGTTAGTGGGAGTTTTATCCTCGAGCAACCTTTCTTTAAGTAACTTTAAAGGTCCTCGAACAATATGGCCACACACTAAGTCAAAGGGGCTAAAGCCCAGCGACTCTTGCACAACCTCACGTACTGCAAACAACAGATAAGGAACCCCCTCATCCCAATCATGTGAATGTTCCAAACAGTACGCTCGCAACATTGACTTCAACGTCTGATGAAAACGTTCAAGCACCCCCTGACTCTCTGGGTGATACGCACTAGAAATAGAGTGTGTAATACCCAAACGTTGGAACACCTGTCTAAACACAGCAGACATGAAATTAGTTCCCTGGTCCGACTGTACACACCTAGGTAGACCGAAAGTTGTAAAGAACTTAACCAGCGCTCTAACAATATTGCGAGTAATAATTTTTCTCAGAGGAATAGCCTCCGGAAAACGAGTAGAAGCACACATAATGGTAAGCAAATACTGGTTACCCGACCTAGTTTTAGGCAGTGGACCCACA